TTTCATCCGTGCATTCATCTAACCCAGTGGTTCTCAACCATTTTTTACCCATATGGACCACTTCTTTTTTAACTTGCTTTTGGTGGACCACCATAACCATTCGATAAAAAGTTTATTTTATTTTTTACTAATACATAAGTTTAGGAATTGTATGATAGAAATAGAAAATGTATTTCTTTAAATTAATTTTATTATTAATATTTTTTTATTGATTAATTTATATTAATTAGTATATTAGTATTTTATTAATATTTAAAATTTATTTATTATTAATATTAATATATTAAATTAATTTATATAATTTTAGCATCCCGCTACCACTTATTAATGTTGAATTTTGTACAAATCTGTGCAAAAAGAGGATCAAAAGCTTACCCAGCTTCATACAGATTTTCAGGAAATATCAGCTTCTAATTGATCAATAAACACAAATGGGCGTTGCAATCTGCCCACGTACAAATATTTTTTCAGCGTGTGATCAATCAAGTTTTTCCGCCATTTTCCTGGGATCCTATCACGTGATTACATTAATTATAAATAGCAGATACAAGCTTGCTCACTCTTTTCTCTCTTCCCTTTTCCTGCGAAGATGTAACCTTAAAGGATCCTGTCTCGACCATGTGTGGGTCAGATGTTAAGGGTTAAAAACATTCACGCACATACGAAATTTTCCAAACTACATTACAAAACATTTTCAAACAAGCAACAAGAACTTCTCTTTGAGATGCTTTTCTCAAGCTATAGTTTATTCAGCATTTCTCAGCTTTATAATTTATTCAACTTTTGTAAGCTCAGATAAAAATATTTCAATTCATCAGTAAAACTAATTCACTCAAAGGGACATAACACCAACCAAATAGTAACCTCTACCCATGTACATTACACAAAAAGAAATATGAATGTTGTTATAAATGTAAAACCGTTTTTGTTCCTTCTCGGGTTTCATATTTTGTGGTATTTTACGTTAAATATAAATCGTGTGGTCATGTTAATAAACAGACATCTACAAATGGTCCTAAACATACAACATAATATATAATCTTCCGTGTGTGTGTGTACGCACACACACTTTGTTTTTAACTTTTTATTCAACTTTTACAGTCAAAACATCCGGTAGGGTAACAAAAGAGAAACTAACTTACATTGCTCGTTTTAGAGTTGTTTTTTGATTTTCAGTTTTTTTTAATATGGCTTCCGCGCTCCAGGTTATTCTCGAAATTCCAAATTTCATTTGTGACAACCGCTCCGAAGTGAAATTGCTCTATGGACCACTAAAATATTACAGTGAACCCCCAATACATGGGTCCCTTGGGTCCATATTGACCCCGGTTGAGAACCATTGTCCTAACCATTCATTCATATTTTATTAGTGCCCAAATAAAGAAAAAAAAATTTATCATATATAATTTTATATATACAAAAAATATATACCATTATATAATAATAAATATAAAAATAATAAAATCCAATTAAAATTTAATTAAGTTTTTTTTTTTTTTTTTTTTAAATTGCCGATCTTGTTCCTGGCCTTTACATAGGAAAAGTAAAAAAAACCCAAAATAACTGAATGAAGCAGACGATGTTAAACCATAGAAAATAAGACAAAAAAATCAAGTTCACAGATAAAAAACAAAAACAAAAATAATTTCATGCACATGCTAAAAATACAACAAAACAAAAAATTACTAAATAATTCTCAGTCTAAAGAAAGTTATTCTTTTTTAAACTGACAACTTAAACATCTTTTTTTTTTTTAAACAGACAAAAAAAAACAAAAAAAAAAAAAAAAAACACACACAAAAAGTTTGTAATTTCTTTTTTTCTACAAGATAAATAATTTCTTCAGAATTCTTTTTCTCTTTCTTTGGAGCTTAAAGGGAAAAATAAAAAACAACGCCTAACCTAGGCTAAGATGAAATTTTAGAAGAAATATCTATTTAAAATATTTTAAAAGCTTATTTTAAATAGAGAACGAGAATGGGACAGAAATCGAACGACTCTGCAAAAAAAAAAAAAAAAAAAAAAAAAAAAAAAGGTAACAAAAAAATTATCGTCTGTTTTGCCGTCAGATGCGTATCGTCCAAAACATCAACAAATATTTTATTACTGAAGTTAGTGAAATGATGTCTTCTCACTCTCTATAACATTCTAAATTTTGGTAAATAAAAATTTCGAAACCATTAAGGTGGGAAAAAAATAAAAATAGGAACAACATTTAAACAGGTTTTTTTTATTTTATTAGTGCCCAAATGAACCATGCATCAGTTGTACACAAAAAAATCAACAAAACATGACTTTAAACCGTTACGAAAACAATTCTCAATGAATGTTTCATTTTCTGCAAATTTGACTTTCAGAGACAAATTCAGAGACGCGCAGCTTCTCCTTGGCAAATGCTACTCTGATATCATTTTCGATACAGCGTTTGTTCCTTTTCTCTTCGTTTTCATGTCTACCATCCTCGAAGAAAAAAAAGTGGGGTTGCTCGCAAAGATACGTTGAGGGCGTTGCGGTTCTGAAGAATTGTTGGTTGAACCTGGCTCTGCTGAAATTCAATGATTTCGTCAAGGTATTAATCAGTGACATACATGTCTTAACCTCCACCGCGCCCCTGAGAATAACTCACAAAAACTCTGGGGTTCGATCAAACCCAGCTTAAGAACCACTGCACTAGGCCATTGTCAACTAACTCTCAACTGGTAGGACAACCTGTTTGAAACAGGAGTTTTTTTTAACATGTAAGAGTTGTGCCCCTTTCACTGTACTAGTGAGAGATGTATAGTGGTTTTCAGGAATGCATTATATCAACGGGAATAACGACAGACACAGGATAGACGTCTCCTCGAGGCGGTGTAATGGTTAGCGAGCTTGTCTCGCTAATAACAATTACGACTGACTAGCGAGTTCGTTTCTCACTGGGTGCCCCATACTTTCGGCCTTGTGCCACATCTAAGCTACGCTTGGAAAAATCACTAGACGTTTAAATCAGAGGCTTATGACACACGTGCTCTTTATTCAATATACACCATGACAGCGTCCCTTCTCTAGAGAGTGGAGGTTAAAGGGACATAACTAAGGTATTATGTTAACAGGAGGTATGCGAGCCAATATGGCCGAATAAACAAGTAAATAATTACAATACCTCATGTTTTCGTGTTATTATAACAATAAACCTTACATGGTGACTGCGGTGAGTGAATGAACACGACGACCCCAGAAAGAAAAGTACCACGAAAGTGAGTAAATTACGGAAAATACGTAAAAAGAACTCTTTCAAAAAAATAAAAATGGCGTCTCCGAATATTGCATTGTCAATGTCAATATTGGACTGGACGAATGAGAAACAAGAACCTTTCAGTGAATGGGTTGACTTTATGAAATCTTATTTTATCATAAGTAACGTGGAGGAAGAAGTAAAACACAAGTACATCCTACGGAGCACAAGACCAAAGGGTCAGGAGGTCATAAAAAATATTAGCTCACAGCAGAACAGAAAGAAAATTCGGCGAATATGTTCCAAATTTTTGAGACACACATGGTTCAGAAAACCAAATAAATGAGTCGAACACTTCGAGTTTTTACTTCAATTCAACAGAATGAAGAAACGATCAATGAATATGGTCAGACTGCAAACAAAGGCAGAAAGATGCGACTGACACCAACAATGGCGATAGAGTATTGGAACAATTGTAAACTTTAAACTAAAGTGCAGAAGAAAGGAGAAAACCTTATCAGCAAACCAGCCTCTCATTAAAGGTAGCTATCGAGAGCATAAACTAAAGACAATATAACAAGGACGATACCAGCGAAGGAAAAGCTGAAATATACCACGAGGTAGCAGTAAAAAAAATATAGCAATGTAGACAGCGTGGAAGAAGCCATGTATTTGTAAAGTTTACACAACTTTTAAAATTAGTGCCTCACAAAATCGTACACATGGCAGATCGGACACAATAAGTCCAAATAAAATGAGACAAGGAAACCCACATATAAATAAAAAATAAATTCACACAACAGACACAGGAAGCAGAATGTAAAAGAAAATGTGAACAAATACAGAGCAGAAAGTGGATCGGACTAAAAAAATAAAGAGAGGAATTATATACAGTACTCATTTCGGTTCTCTAACGTCTCATATGTCAAACAAAATCGGTTTTCGAACAGAAAATTCGAAATGAAAAACCTCGATTATCAAACAACATTGACGAACCGAGTTTTAACACGAATGAACAATCTGAGCCAACCGCCGTGTTGTATACGTTCAAACAAAAGCAGTCACACCATATTGGTCCTAAAGCCCTGCATACATTTATTAACCATAAAATAAAATAAATACATTTAAATTTTACAAAAGCACATTACAAAACTCCAACCCTGGAAGAAATTTCTCACAAATCGTCAGGTGCAAAGTTGGATGCAAAGTATGGATACTGGGCATTTGAATTTCAGTTATGTTATTAATATTATTTCAATTTCACAAATGCCCAATATTTTTTTAACGTGATGCGTCACGTAAGCACTTCTGTAATAAAACGTGTGGTGCCATTGCGATTCGTGCAGTGAGGGTAATTGGTTGAATGTGTACTGTAAAATATCGCTCTCATGAATGAGTGGTATACATTCTGATACTTACCGGTCACAGGGATCCGTCCCTGCGCTGGTAGTATCACTACTATGACTAGCGGGCCCGAGTGAAGACACTCGGGACCCCACATTAAAAACCGACCTTGTGTCACAACCTGACTTAAGAGTAAATACAGTGAGGGTAGTTGGTTAATACCTGGGGTAGAGAAAAATTAAGAAGCGTTGAGTTTACACTCACAGGGTGAACATAAAAAAAATGTACAGTTTGAAAAAATAAAAAAATAAGTGTTCCTCAATCTCTTTTTTTTTTTTTTTTTAGGATATATAATTAATTTCTTTAGAGTTTAGAAAGATATTTTGTTTAACGAGCAAAAACACTAACTTACCATTATTAGTAGAGGTATCATTTCCATTCTTTAGCTAAAAAACAAAAAAAAAATTTTAAATTACATCTTTCTTCATTTTAAATAAACTAAAAAAAAAGGCTTGGGGTCAAATGCAGGGAAAATTGGTAGAATGACAATTGTCTGAATTTGTGTTTGCAATATAAAGCAATACTTATTGGAAATAAATCTATTAACTTTAAATTAAAACTAAAATGAACCTTCAAAGATTTCATGTATTTTCTTTTTTTTTTTTTTTTAAATTCATAAACCTTAGAAGGTTTATGAATTAAAAAAAATGAAAATAAAAACACGATACCCAAGGTCCTTGACCTGAGGAATCGTTTTTTTATTATTATTTTTATTTTAAAGGATTTTTGCATTATAAAGTTAATTTAATACGATTTTTTAAAAATAAATATATAAAAAAAAAAAAAAATATTACCTGAGTAACGTTATACAAGTGAAAACTTTCTCCAACCAAAAACAAAAATCGCCGAATGCCACAAGATTTTTATCCCAGACAATGACATTGAAATTGTAAAAAGTAAAGAAAGACTAAGAAAAAGACGACTTCCTGGGATGGTCTTGTGTCACGCCACTGACAAAATCCCCCATTCATTTGACTTTTTCTTTTTATCATTCAAAGAAACAATTGCAGAAAAAAAAAAAAAAAAAAAAAAAAAAACAAACTTGTCAACAGGTTCAACTTAAATCTCTTTTTAACTAGTCTAAATTTCATTTAATAAATAAAATTAAATTAAAATTAAAATTTGTTATATTTTACAATTGTTACTTTTTAAGTGTGAAGTAGATTTTTTTTGGCTTATTTTTATTTTTCAGATAGTTAATTTTAATTTAAAATTCTAATTTAAAAAATTAAGATTTTCCCAGAAAAAAAAAACAAACCCCAAAAAACTTGAAAATTAACTTAAAATTTTCAGTAATATTTATTTTATAAAAATTCATTAACGAATTAAAAAAAACGTATTTTAGAGACAATGTTTTTTTTTTATGGTATTGAAAAAACATTTAAAAACATCTTTTGATTTAAAAAAAAAAAAAAAATCGATTACTGGAAATAAGCACGTAAAAATTTTTTTGTTTGCCTAACGTGAAAAAAGAAAACAATACGATTTTACTTATTGGATCCTTATGCTTCCTCCTATTCATAACTATTTTGAACTAAATAATTTAAATCATACTTTCTGACTGAGTACACGGACGTTATTTTTAAGTTAAGATTTTTTTTCGAAATAAAAAATATCATTAAAAAAAAAAAAAAACATTTCCAAAAACGACAATTGTGTAAGAAAAGGATTTGGAGACTATGCTAGTTTTAACTTTTATCATATAAAAGTTTTTAAAACTCGCATAGTCGCAAAAAAAATACCCCCAAAATACTTTGATCTTTCCTAGTCTTTAATAATAATATGAACATTAGATGATGAAAGTTTTCTCCAAGTTGGGTGTCTTTTTCTATTTCATCATGCATTTTTTGTTTACATTTCGTGGAGGTACCTATGTGAATGTGAGGAAAAATGAAGAGTTTTTCTTCTCTTTTTTTTCTTCTTTTAAACGGTTTTTGCATTAATTTCATACATATAAAAATAAAAGTTAATATATTTTTTTAAAAATAAACGTACCTTAGTGACGCAAGACTGTAGACAAGTGAACAAAAATCAAAACAAATACCGCCGACTGTCACAAGATTTTTTTCCAGACAATAAAATTGTAAAATGTTAATTGAACTCAACAAGTGTTTTTTTTTTTTTTTTTTTTTAAAAAGGTATAAAATAGAACACTCCAGAATTATCCAGCAGGTATTGCTAAGGCAACTTATAAACAGAATAAGTCAGAATTTGTCGTTTTTACTGCCGAAGAGGCTAATTTCTTGTTCGCCTGTTGCTGTTGTAAAAAACGACAGAGTGGGGAAGTAAGTAAGTAAGTAAGTAAGTAAGAAAGAAAGAATGTTGGACCAACATTCTTTCTTACTTGTTCCATTGTCGGGATGTTTTATTTTTACAATTATCGAGGGATGGACTGAGGGAAGAAAAAATCAAAACCCAATTGATATATACAATGAAAAAGATGTTTATACAAGAAACTAAACAAAATAGATAACTCCATGAAATCGCTAAAAAAAGGGCATAGCATGATGAAAAAAACACCAAACTTGACGAAAACAAAATTTTATCTTCTAAAAATGTTTATGTTATTATTAAGAGGAAAGACCAAAGTATTTTTTTAATTATTTAAATTTTTTTTTCCTTTTTAAAACATTCTAACTTTTGATTAAGAAAAACTTTGTTTCTCTTTTTATCGGCGAAACTACTAAATATTTTTTAGCCTTTTTTTTTTTTGCATGACAGGCATTAATTTGGAAAATCTTGCAAAAATAATTACCTGATGTTAATGGAACTTTCAAAAACTATTCACAAATGATGGAAATTATTATAAATATGTTTTCTTTTTTTAAAGTCATGGCAAATTTTTTTTTAATATATGTATTACCCCTCCCCCACCCATAACTAATTTTATGAAAACTCTGGAAATCAATACTGTCCAGTTTAGTGATTCTATTAGTTAAAAGCACAAGGCTATGAGAAAAACAAATCATTTTTTTTAATTGGACCCCCCACCACCTGAAAATCAGCTCTGAATTGTAACGTACAAAAAAAACTCAATAAAACAAAGATATTATTTAATTTCAAATGCTTTTAGTTGCTTTTATTTGTTTTTATGAATATGGATAATATTGTTTGAAAGCAAAAAACTTTTTTGATGAAAAATGAATTTTTAAAACAGTTATTTCTTAAATTGTTTTGTTATTTTTACATTAAAGTTGTTAATATTCTAAAATTAGTGAAAACGGCATTCAGTTTAGTCAATGGTGTTATTAGATAGATCTATTTTTACAGAATCATAAATTGTATAGCTTCTAAAAAATCAGAAGACTATGAAATCTTATGAAATTTATATGATCCTATTTTTATATTAATCTCAGTTATGAAATCTCAAAATTAATAATAAAATGAATGGAAATACAAATAACAAGAGTAAAATGTAATAAATGTACATAAAATTATAATATTTTATGTACACTTCTGATAAAATTTCATAAGGAAGGTACCTATAAATTAATTAGATACCTTTCTTATGAAATTTTTATCACACTCTCAACAGTCTTATTTTAATTTCTTTATATTTTCCATAAAGCATCGTAAAGGTGAAAGCTAAGTACAAAAAAAAAAAAAAAAATTAGAGCGTTGAATGTTTTCCTTAAAAATAAATAAGGTAAATAATTTGTTCGCTTAAATGTAAATAATTGCACTTCTCTTCCATAGTATAAATTATCCTCACGTAATCACGTCATTCAACACCTGTCAAGTGACGCGAAATGTTATGACCTGCTTTGTTTTATTTTCAAATTACATCTTTTCGGCGCAAAAACTAAGTAATGCTAAGTAATAAACATTATAATTTCTAACTTTCTTAAAATAAGTTTTGAAAAAATTATAATTGATTTTTAAAGAATTTCAAACAGATTTTCATTTCACCATTCGAGCTGTGGCCAGCAGCGTAAGAAGCACCATTCATTTCAACCCAGAATATGGGGGCGACACATTGTCACATGCGTATGTGCGATCAATGAGCATGAGCTTTTCGGGAGCCATCAGCTCGCCAACATGGTCCCATAGGGGGTGGACCCGAGGACAATGGTAGAAGGTGTGCGAAGCTGTTTCTTCTAGGCTAAGGTCACATTGTTCATACGAAGGCCTTGTCATTGAGACGTAGCCTATTCTGAACCAGTTGCCAGATAAGCGAAAACTCGGTTACTGAAGTAATCCGCCACTGGTGGCCAAGACTAGAAAAGAGCGAAACTCCTCCTCCGACAAGTCGAGCCACTCGCATAGAGGATCCTGTCACTTAGCCGGTGAAGGAGAGGCTCCAATGCCAAAGTGTAAAGTAGGGGCAACAGTGGACAACCCTGACGAACTGTGACAGTGCAAAAGCGCCCAACACCTTCCCATTAACCTGTAGCACAGAACTAGGGAAGCGATACAGGAGGCTAATCCAGTGGCAGAAGTTAGATTCGAATTCAGCTGCCTGCAGGACAGCAGCAAAGTAGCGATGGTCAACCCTATCAAATGCCTTGGACTGATCTAAATTGATCAGCGCAGCCTCATCGTTGTTTTTTACACCCTCTATGATTGTGCGGATCAGATGCAGGTTGCTCTGAATTGTTCGGCCCCTCAGCGCAAGTCTGCTCAGGACCCAACAGAGACTTAACAACTGACTGCAAACGCTCCTGCAGGATCTTGGCCAAAATCTTTGTGTTTAGCAGAGTTACGAACTTATAGTCATCTAAATCCCGCCCAACACCCTTGCCTTTTTTCAACAGCGTGATCACACCCCTGGTGATCTGGTCAGGGATGGCCCTCTGCCAGAACCAATTATTGAATACAACCGTCAAAATAGGGACAAAGATGTGTGACAGCCTCAAGTACAATTTATAGGGCAAACCATCCAAACTGGGTGACTTGCCTCTGCCGACCTTCTTCAATGTCGCGTAGACTTCACTCTTCACAGCTAGTCTTTCAGTCAGCAAAAGCCGAGGAAAGTCAGCGAATTATCTACGAAACTACTCGTCACTGAGACCAGGCTCCTTGGTAAACCAGCTCTTGAAATGCTGCCAAAGTGTATGCACCTCCGGGGTATTGACTTCACGAATGTAGCGATTGGAACCTCGACGGATCTCTTCCTTGCGCCTATGTTCACAGCTTCAGAAGACATCTTGCTTAACCTCTGTCTAATTACCTGGCCCATGTAGCACTCGCTAGTCAAATGCTCCAAGGCCTCCCTAGCTAAGGCTTTCTCTAGGGGATTCCTCCCAGCCACCACCCGGGAAAAACTAGCCTTAAGTGTCTTCACCTTGTTAGCACTATCTAGTGTGAACCATTTGCTAAACTCGGTGGTGAAGGACCTAATCCTATTCTTAAGCCTCTCCCACCACCTATTCTTGATAACCACCCTCATTAATTCCCTCTGCACTAAGCTAATTAGCTGTTTCTGGAAGTCCCGCCTGTCCAGTAAAGACAGATCGAACTTCCAGTAGCCAGACATTCTAGGCCTACAATCTAACACTATCCAGGCACAAACGAGTTTGTGGTCCATTAGTCTACCCAGTGGAATGTAAGACCATCTAGTAGGTCTATATCAGATCCTCTGACTAACATTCTATCCAGGTAGCTAACCACCTGGGTAGAAGGCCAACTAAGAGTCCACGTGACATCTCCAATCCGATATCTTTGATTAGATCAACCAAGCTATGATCACCCCTTCTCTCTCTAGCTCCCCGCCCCCTATCTAACTTGGAGTCCAGTCCCCCATTAAGACTAGGTGTGTTGAATCCACCGGGAATGGCCCCTACTGCCGAAAAAATAAGACCTGGTCCTCTTGCATAAACTGGAACGACTCGGAATGAACCACTTTTCACGGCAATATTGGCCACGATCAACTGTCCCTCGGCATTGACATGAACAAGGCCCACCCTCACATCCAGGGTATGGCTAACCAGCAAAGAGACTCCTCTGGCCAGTTGGTTCCCATATGCTGAATAGATGACAAAGTCGTTAGACAGTACACACATCGATGTTGCAAACAAAGTGGGTCTCTTGGATCATGGCAACATCCACTCCGGACGACAAGAGGTCATGGAGCAGGCAGGAAGCTTTACGCCAATCCCTCAAGCCCTTCACATTCAGAGCAGCTAACTTGATTGATATCTTTTAAATCTGTAAAAGAGAAAAACAACAAATTAACCTATTTGTATACGAGCCAGAAATCTGTGGCAGAAAGGACCCTGACGGATTGTCCTAGGCTCATTGTGCCCAACTACATTGTCATCACAGACAATGCCACCAGCGTCCGTACGGTATGTTAGTTTCACAGCCCTATATAAGGACGGATGGAGCAAAACAGGGACTCTCCCAGCACAGAAATGCCTAAGTTTCTTTAGATCTGCATTGTCCTACTCAAACATTCTAATGTTTGGGTAGGCTTCTTTAGCCTCAAATAAATGTCACCACACTTTGTCCCATGTCCTTCACGTAGGTGATTACTCCCAGTGCACGTGGAAAGTTTCAGGGGTCCTCCACAGGCTTTCCGTCTATGGCATCCATCTTGAATAGAGGCCTTAAGAGGACCTTCTTTTGTTTCAACAGGCCATTTTAAACTCCTCTGTGTCCAACTTGCATATGGATTTTGGGCCTGGGAACAGTTTCTCCCTTGAAGGGTGGGGAGGGGAAGAAGTGGATGTGTGAAGAAGAGTAGATAATGAACTGAGGGAGGAGGTGTAGGGTGAGGGGGGCAGAGTATGTGAAGGGGAAATAAGGAGGCTCCTAGCTTTTGGTGAGACAATGGCTTCTTTCAGTGAAGTAGGGACTGACAATGACCTGGTTCAGTCCATAACCCTCTGTGCCCTACTACGGCCAGAGTGCCTTTACTGTGGTTAGTCTTCTTCAACTTCCACTCAGCTCATTTTTAAGGACACTGCACGAGGCAGAGTGAATTTTTTCAACTTCCATTGGCATGTCTATCTGCTACTGCTGCTTATTTCTTTGTTGTTGCTGTTGGTATTACTGTTACTTTTGTTGTTGTTATTGTTTTTGAGGTCGCGGTTTTTCCTGCACAGCGTTTGATTGCTGCACAAACCATTGTGGTCGCACCGTATTTTTGGTTACAGAATAATATTTAAGAAAGAAGGGAGGATTATGAGCAAGCCTAGAAATGTGTTTATAAGTTTATATCTTAAATCTTGGTTACATAGTAATATTTAAGAAAGAAGGGAGGATTATGAGCCAGCCTAGAAATGTGTTTATAAGTTTATATCTTAAATCTTACTTGGTTACAGAGTAATATTTAAGAAAGAAGGCAGGATTATGAGCAAGCCTAGAAATGTGTTTACAAGTTTATATCTTAAATCTTACATGGATACAGAGTAATATTTAAGAAAGAAGGCAGGATTATGAGCAAACTTAGAAATGTGTTTATAAGTTTATATCTTAAATCTTACTTGGTTATAGAGTAATATTTAAGAAAGAAGGGAGGATTATGAGCAAGCCTAGAAATGTGTTTACAAGTTTATATCTTAAATCTTACTTGGTTATAGAGTAATATTTAAGAAAGAAGGGATGTTTATGAACAAGGCTAGAAATGTGTTTATATGATTATATCTTAAATCTTGGTTATAGAGTAATATTTAAGAAAGAAGGCAGGATTATGAGCAAGCCTAGAAATGTGTTTATAAGTTTATATCTTAAATGTTGGTTACATAGTAATATTTAAGAAAGAAGGGAGGATTATGAGCAAGCCTAGAAATGTGTTTATAAGTTTATATCTTAAATCTTGGTTACATAGTAATATTTAAGAAAGAACGGAGGAATCTGAGCAAGCCTAGAAATGTGTTTATGAGTTTATATCTTAAATCTTACTTGGTTATAGAGTAATATTTAAGAAAGAAGGGAGGATTATGAGCAAGCCTATAAATGTATTTCTAAGTTTATATCTTAAATCTTGATTATAGTAATATTTAAGAAAGAAGGGAGGATTATGAGCAAGCCTAGAGATGTGTTTATGTTTATATCTTAAATCTTACTTGGTTAAAAAGTAATATTTAAGAAAGAAGGGAGGATTATGAGCAAGCCTAGAAATGTGTTTATAAGTTTATATCTTAAATCTTACTTGGTTATAGGGTAATATTTAAGAAAGAAGGGAGGCTTATGAGCAAGCATTGAAATGTGTTTATATGTTTATATCTTAAATCTTGGTTATAGAGTAATATTTAAGAAAGAAGGCAGGATTATGAGCAAGCCTAGAAATGTGTTTATAAGTTTATATCTTAAATCTTACTTGGTTACAGAGTAATATTTAAGAAAGAAGGGAGGATTATGAGCAAGCCTAGAAATGTGTTTATAAGTTTATATCTTAAATCTTGGTTACATAGTAATATTTAAGAAAGAAGGGAGGATTATGAGCAAGCCTAGAAATGTGTTTATAAGTTTATATCTTAAATCTTACTTGGTTACAGAGTAATATTTAAGAAAGAAGGGAGGATTATGAGCAAGCCTAGAAATGTGTTTATAAGTTTATATCTTAAATCTTACTTGGTTATAGGGTAATATTTAAGAAAGAAGGAGGATTATGAGCAAGCCTAGAAATGTGTTTATAAGTTTATATCTTAAATCTTACTTGGTTATAGGGTAATATTTAAGAAAGAAGGGAGGAATCTGAGCAAGCCTAGAAAAGTGTTTATAAGTTTATATCTTAAATCTTACTTGGTTATAGAGTAATATTTAAGAAAGAAGGGAGGCTTATGAGCAAGCATTGAAATGTGTTTATATGTTTATATCTTAAATCTTGGTTATAGAGTAATATTTAAGAAAGAAGGCAGGATTATGAGCAAGCCTAGAAATGTGTTTATAAGTTTATATCTTAAATCTTACTTGGTTACAGAGTAATATTTAAGAAAGAAGGGAGGATTATGAGCAAGCGTAGAAATGTGTTTATAAGTTTATATCTTAAATCTTGGTTACATAGTAATATTTAAGAAAGAAGTGAGGATTATGAGCCAGCTTAGAAATGTGTTTATAAGTTTATATCTTAAATCTTACTTGGTTACAGAGTAATATTTAAGAAAGAAGGGAGGATTATGAGCCAGCCTAGAAATGTGTTTATAAGTTTATATCTTAAATCTTACTTGGTTATAGGGTAATATTTAAGAAAGAAGGGAGGAATCTGAGCAAGCCTAGAAATGTGTTTATAAGTTTATATCTTAAATCTTACTTGGTTATAGGGTAATATTTAAGAAAGAAGGGAGGAATCTGAGCAAGCCTAGAAAAGTGTTTTTAAGTTTATATCTTAAATCTTACTTGGTTATAGAGTAATATTTAAGAAAGAAGGGATGTTTATGAGCAAGCCTAGAAATGTGTTTATATGATTATATCTTAAATCTTGGTTATAGAGTAATATTTAAGAAAGAAGGCAGGATTATGAGCAAGCCTAGAAATGTGTTTATAAGTTTATATCTTAAATCTTACTTGGTTACAGAGTAATATTTAAGAAAGAAGGGAGGATTATGAGCAAGCCTAGAAATGTGTTTATAAGTTTATATCTTAAATCTTGGTTACATAGTAATATTTAAGAAAGAAGGGAGGATTATGAGCAAGCCTAGAAATGTGTTTATAAGTTTGTATCTTAAATCTTGGTTACATAATAATATTTAAGAAAGAAGTGAGGATTATGAGCCAGCTTAGAAATGTGTTTATAAGTTTATATCTTAAATCTTGGTTATAAAGTAATATTTAAGAAAGAAGGGAGGATTATGAGCAAGCCTAGAAATGTGTTTATAAGTTTATATCTTAAATCTTACTTGGTTATAAGTAATATTTAAGAAAGAAGGGAGGAATTATGAGCAAGCCTAGAAATGTGTTTATAAGTTTATATCTTAAATCTTACTTGGTTATAGAGTAATATTTAAGAAAGAAGGGAGGATTATGAGCAAGCCTAGAAATGTGTTTATAAGTTTATATCTTAAATCTTACTTGGTTATAGGGTAATATTTAAGAAAGAAGGGAGGAATCTGAGCAAGCCTAGAAATGTGTTTATAAGTTTATATCTTAAATCTTACTTGGTTATAGAGTAATATTTAAGAAAGAAGGGAGGATTATGAGCAAGCCTAGAAATGTGTTTATAAGTTTATATCTTAAATCTTGGTTACATAGTAATATTTAAGAAAGAACGGAGGAATCTGAGCAAGCCTAGAAATGTGTTTATGAGTTTATATCTTAAATCTTACTTGGTTATAGAGTAATATTTAAGAAAGAAGGGAGGATTATGAGCAAGCGTAGAAATGTGTTTATAAGTTTATATCTTAAATCTTGATTATAGTAATATTTAAGAAAGAAGGGAGGATTATGAGCAAGCCTAGAAATGTGTTTATAAGTTTATATCTTAAATCTTACTTGGTTATAGAGTAATATTTAATGAAGAAGGGAGGATTATGAGCAACCCTGCAATGTGTTTATGAATTTTTATGTCATCTCTTATTTGGTTATAGAGTAATATTCAGGAAGAAGTGTGGATTTTGAGCATGCGTAGAAATATATAGTATATCTCATCTTTTGCTTGGTCTGGTTTGTCATGAATCTTGCTTGTGTAAATGCTGTTCTTGCTCATGTTCAAGTTCATAAATTTTGACTGTTTGGAAGCTACGTCTCTCTCAGCCTGTCCGCTTAATAAATGCCTAGAGGACTCTGTTCAGAAGCATTGGTCATTATTTCTGCCTACTTCATAAATGTTTGAAGGACGTCCTCTGTTTGGAATCTATGGACACTCATTGAATCTGCCAGTTTCCTAAATCTTCGTGGATATCCTTTCTTTGTTTGGAAGCAATCTCTCCTTCTCCCCAGGGGCGGTAATGTATATTTTCTACATTCTCCCGACACAAGGAAAAACATTCAATAAAGTCTGCCATTGTTTGTTGCTATTACATAAAATAAAATCAGCTCATAATGCATTTTTATTAATTCAATATTGTTGCAAAACATTTTGCATAATATGAATTTACAATCAATTCAATGAACATTTTTTATACAATTCCAGTTGCCCGACAAACAAATGTTCCATTATTTTCAATATATAGTGTAAACATTTTAATGTGGTGGTTACCTGACAATTAACATTTTATTGTAAAAATATATTCACATGTGAAATCAATTTTAGGAATATTATGTCTGTCTGCAGTATTATGTTTATTTGCTTGTGTAGGTGTGTAAGTGTCCGTCTTTCTTTTTGTATGCATTAAATCAATTCAATTTAGGCTAGATATCCAACATGTGCTAGCTGAATACAATAAATTTTATTAACAATTAATGTAATATTTAACAATTTCATTGAGAATTGTATTTATTTTCATGTGTGGTTTTTTTAGCATCCCGCTAACACCTTTTTTTTTTTTTTTTTTTTTACCAATATTAATTTTAGTACAAATCTGTGCAAAATGTGGATCACAGAGCTTATTCAGCTTAATACATATTTTTAGAAAATCCCAACTTCTGATTGGTCACTTAATATTTAAGTCATGTTCGAATAACATCAACCTAGTTCTTGACCTGACCAAAAAATAATTCCGCCAAAATCTGCCAATCCTCTGTGAGCCTACCACGTGACCAAAGTTAGCAATAAATATGAAACGTCTGTCATCCTTGACTGTGAGCTGATCGGAATCTTTTGAACTCTTTACACAGTTCCAGGCTTTACGTTAAATTTCCTTAATGTGATTTCACCCTGAAAAGAACACTCACTCACACAGCAATATTTTATCACGAACAATCAACTCAAGTTTTCTATATTCAACTTGATACACAAATCTTTGTCATACGCCTTTGAGCTCAACATTACTTATTGCAATTAACATAAACACAGCTTATAAAGAACCGCTTACTACAACTACAGAATATTCTCTTCAAACAACAAGTGAAAACAAAACAAAGAGCGACAACTTCGTAAACATTAAAGTAAGTCGTGAACAATACTTCTCTACTTTAAGTACCAACTTGGACTGTTTATTTTTCCTTAAATTACATTAATACCTAAACAGATTTTCTCATTATTGTACAGACTGTTCAACAACTTATAATCTATCAAACCACAACTTTGATAACTTTTCAATCTAAACATAAAAGGACGTTTGAACTTTTTTAAACTATCTCTTTACTTCAGTTGTTTGTACCTTTTGGTTATATAAATATTTTATTCATTGTTGTGCAAAAACTGTTGTTTTTCATGTTTGTTCTTATTCTATGTTTATTGAATATTAAAATTTTAATGTGAGAGGAAATTGTTAATTTCATCATGCAGCCTATTTATTCAACAATTATTGATCCATATAATTTAATCAATTAACACAACCTCCACAGTTTTAACTGTATTAAGCTCCAGAGGTATTCTTTGTATCATGTGTTTTTGAAATTGTTTAGTAAATCCTCTCTTATACTGAGAGGAGCCAGCAATTGTGATCTGGTTGCTGTTTCAGAATCAGGAGAATTGCTTGAATCAGTCTTTATTGAAATTTCACCATTTATGTTGTGATGTAAAAAAGCATGTTAGGTGTTAAGGGTACTAATTTAATTTCAGATGAACTTCTGTATGTCAATGGCCTAAAATTTATGGCCTTCTGAATATCAGAAATCACGGTTAAATTTGAAAATAATCAGTTTTTGTTCTGCCCAGTGTCTTAAACAAATAGAATTTAAGAGTTTTAATCCTACACACTCCCCCATCCATGGGGAATGCAGTGGTATTTTGATATGTTTAATAGTGTTATTTATTAAGGTTCTGTGGAATTCATCACTGTCCAAATGATGTTCTGTTATGTTCATTCATAAAGCTATACTGAAAGGACCTTGCAGTGTCGCTGTAAATATGGTTGGGCATACCATATGAGTTAGAGAATCTAATTAGTGCTTGTAAAAAGGTGTTAGTGCTCATGTCCTTCATTATTTCCACATTTATGCTCCCTATAGTTAAGCAATAAATACATCTCTGACTTTCCATTTCTATGTATCCAGAGATGTCCTGTATAGTCAATACCAGTTTGTTGGTAGGGGTTGATGAAGTTTAGTCGATGCTTAGGTAGATTGGTTAATTTTGGATATTTGAATGTCAAATTATTGTATCTTTTACAGATAATACATTTATTCAGGATAGTCTTCACAGACTGCCTGGCCTGTGGGACCCAGAACCCAGAACCCAGACATTCATAGTTTAGAGATTGTATTACTGACCCCCAGATATTTACACTTTTGATGAAAATCTTTAATGACTAACTCTGTAAAGGGATGGTGCTTTGATTGTAGTATAGGATATAATATTTCACATTGGTATCTACTGGTATTGGCAATCCTGCTATTTACTCTTAATATCCCTTTTACAATATTCAGACTATTGTCCTCATCTTTGTTTCCATATTTATTACAATTTTTCGTCCGTTGTACATTCCGACCTTCTTCAGGTGGTTGGAATGTCAAACTGAACCCTTTATTTCGCTCACTGGGGTAGACTGTTCTAGTTCCATGCGCCATGTTTAACGGATGTCAGTTAATGGATCAAAGACACATAGCACCTTGGATAAAGGCGTTGGTTAGATCCAGTGACAGTACCCAAAGAGTGTGAGTTCAATACCCAGTTAAGGCAGTGGAGAACTTGGAAAGGGGAATTAACAGGAGATAACTGACATCCATCCTGAGCGTACAATGGCCGAAACATTGTAATAAATATGGCAACAAAAGTGAAGACAATAGTCCGAATAATGTAAATAGTGTACATAATACCTCATCTCATAAATATAGACAGATAATATCCTTTTAGCGTCTAAGACGTCCTGGGTATGATGATAAACTATGTCCAACAGCAAGGCCTCTGATCAGGAGGTTTTGAGGAGCGTAGAACCACCTCTTAATTGCTGGTGTTCCCAGGTCTACCCTGACACGGGATGGTAGCATCTGTCAGGGTCCCAGCTATGGCCAAATAGTTGACACCCAAACTGGGGTCAAAACACTATAAAAGGGTAAAAATAGGTTTTAATATCTATCCATCCACATCTTCCCAATCACTTAGCTCCCTCTTCTCTTTGGGAGATATCGAATCAGAATTCTAGACTTTATCACTTGGGTCCTTTGCTTTCTGCTGATTCATAGGAGATTTTCTCTTTTTTTCATATAACCCTTTCTACTGGCTGTTGACTTATCTGTCTTCCTTATTTCTACTCAGTCTTCATCTGTTTCCATTTCCTCTAGCTCCACGAGGGTTGCTTTCCTCATTATTCCTTTCCTTTTCCTTGGTTCGGTTCCTTACCAATCATCTACCTCAGTCAATTTGAGGTTGTTGGCATGAGCCGTTTTTACTCGTTCCACCATTTACTCACAGATTACAAAGGACACTGTCTGTTCCACTATTCTATAATAGGATTACCATCTTTGGTCTAATTTTCCTTCTCTTAGGTGAATCTTGTAGAACACGGGATCTCCAACCCCTAACTCTACCTCCTGTTTTCACTCTCACATTTGTCTTCTTTTGTGCTCTTTTTATTCTCCTTCTGGCCTGAGTAAACAACTCATGTTGTTGTTCTATTATCAATCTGTGGTGGTCTTCCCCTATGTACTTACTGCAAGGTTTTAACAGGTTATCTGCTGGCAAAACCACGTCTCGTCCGAACAGCATATAGTACGGTGAGAAATTAGAGGCCTCATTCATGGTAAACCTTACTGACATCAAGGCTTGCATCAGATTCAGGTTCCAATTCTTAGCATTATCATTTGCCAATTTAGCCAATATATCACCCAAGGTCCTATGAAATCTTTCTATTATTGCATTACTCTGTGGATGGGATGGGGAAGTGATCACATGTACTGTACTCAGGCTTCGGCTATTATCTTATTTACATCCGTTGTCTGTAACCAGTTATACTGGGGCCTCACAGTGAAGAAATATCCCTGTCATTATCAAGTCCGACACAGTTTGGGTTCTCTTATCAGGTATCGCATGTACCTCAGGCCAACCGGTTAGCCAATCTACAAATCTCACGATGTATAGATTTCTCCTTAGGGTTTCCCCACACGGTCCTGAAACATCTATACACACTGTCTCGAACCGTGAAACTGTTTTCTGCTTTCTACGCTGGGCCTGACACACCACATAGTGATCTCATATAGCCCAAGCCAATAATAGGTTGTCCCTATCAGATCACAGGTTTTATCGATTGCCATGTGACCCAGTTTCTCATAACATACAATCTGAGCCTTACCGCTTCATCCTTCCTCGAAAGGTGATATAGCATTTCGTCATGCGCTGCATACTTACAGATCTTTACCTGCCTCTATTTTTGTCCTGAGAGCAGCTATCTCACTGTCTTCCTGACCCTCTCTTATTGCTTCTTTCTACTGAGGATCAGTCACAACCTGTGTGGTCTCTTCTGTCTCAGTCTCCAACACAGGACGGTCCTTTAATTTATTGGAACTGATTGCCTGTATCTAGTAGACCCTATCATTCACCCCTGCCTCTAGCCTTATGGATTCTTCCTTCAGCTGTTTTGGGATTCTTGACAGCATATCTTCGCATGTATTATCCCTACCGACCAGGTACTCTATTTTACAGTTGTACCCGATCAACTTCAGTGCCCACTGCTGGATATTTTTGTTAGTCCATTCAACTTCCAGCAAATATTGGAGTGGCTTGTGGTCAGGTAGTAATTTTTGCAAGGTATATATCATGGCGTATCACTGGCCACCTCTACTGCATCTCGGAGAGTCTATAGGATAAGAAATATACCGGTACTTCCTCCGGTATACCGGACACTGGGCCATCCCTATGCGGGCATGCTTGAGTAAGGACTGCTCCAATACACTGATCACTAGAATCTGTATAGAGGACCGTCACTTTACTAAGGTCTGGATACGTTAATAAAGCTATTGCAGTCAGCTGATCCTTCAGGCTGTCAAATGCTCTCTGACAGTCCTCTGCCCACTTAAGCCTAGCATACTTTTTGGTCATTGCTGTCATAAGGGGAGCCAGCCTAGAAAATGCTGGAATGAACTGTCGGTAAAAGCCTACGGCTCCTATGAACCCCCTACCTGCCACACCGTTTTTAGCTCAGGCATTTCTCTTATTACCTCTACCTTGTCCAGATCGGACTTAATCCCGTCATTCAATCCATGTCTCCTTAACCGTCCTAACACCTGTCTCAAGTGGTCGAAATGCTTCTCTAGTGTTTCAGAAAACACTAAAATAACACCCAAATAGCCATAGCAAACTCGTTCATTTTGCTCAACACTACTGACATCAGCTTCTGGATAAAAACAGGAGCATTGGCCAAGCCAAATGGCTTTACCCTAAATTGAAATAATCGCACATGTCCTTTTCACGATCTACCTCATCGAGGGCTATCTGCCAATCGCCTGACCTCAAGTCTATCGTTGATAAATAATTAGTCTTTCCCCAGAAGCGGGGCGAAATGTCATCTATGAACGGAGGGGGACTGCTAGTGGTTTTGAGACTGCTTTCAGCTTTCTAAAATTAACACAGAACTTGTGTCTCCCATCCTTGTTATCCACCATTACTATGGGGAAACTACAGTGAGACTCGGACCTTATTCATTCCTGATTCAAGCATGTCCTTAACCAGCCCCCATCAGTGATCCCTTATGGATTGATGTTCTATACAGTCTTAGTTTGATCGTCAAAATTGATCCGCATTTTCACTGTGTGTGTCTGTCCCAATTCTTTCTCAGAATTAGCCGCCACATCATGGCTAATTCTCAGCAATCAACCTATTCTAGCCTTAAATTTCTCAAGGGCTATTATTTCTTCCTCTTTTACTTGCCCCATCTGATTGTGCTCCCTCTTCCTCTTCTCCTTTCATCATTTTTACCGTCTTGTTGGCCAGATTGGACAACATTATAGGTACTTATCTCTGCTGCTTCCACCAATGTTTTACACAAAGCTTCTTCTTCTTCTTCTTTCAAATGCTTCAGAGAATGAAGCGAGTTGACGGTTGAATGCTTCAGAGAATGAAGCTAGCTGTTTGATGAATGCTTTAGAGAATGAAGCTACCTGTTTGATGAATGCTTTAGAGAATGAAGCTAGCTGTTTGATGAATGCTTTAGAGAATGATGCGAACTGTCAGATGAATGCTTTAGAAAATGAAGTGAACTGTCAGATGAATGCTTGCGAGAATGAAGGGAGCTGTCTGATGATTACTTCACAAAGTGAAGCTGACTGTTGGGCGGATGTCTCAGAAAGTGAACAGTCGGTTGAATGTTTCTGGGAGTGAAGCTGACTGTCACATGCATGCTTTACGTTGTCAACGGGCTTTCGAATGTATGCTTGAGGGAATCAAGTGAACTGTCAGGAGAATGCTTCATGTTTCAGATCGTCGGACAAATGCTTGCCGAGGTGAAGTTAATAAATCAAGGACAAACGAAAGGGGACCAATATAGTGAGTACGATAAACATTTATTAAGTAATTATTGTTAACCATATGACAAAAATGAAACACGGAAAGAAAAATTTTATATTCGGAATTTTCGGACACGCCTCTGCCCTTTCTCAATGGAGCGAGAAAATTCTGAACTTTTATTTTCAGAATTTCACAGAATTTTATATATAGATGAATATAAGAGTAAAATTTCTTTTTAGTTTCTCTATTTATTTTTATGATTTTTCAACTGTTTATAAATAATAATAATAATAATCGCACTATTTTTTGAATTGAAACAATTCTATACCCAATCAGTGGCAACAGTTCTGTTGACTGAATCAGTTTTTCCGGATCAAGTGAATATTTTCTGTATCGTCTTAGAGCAATTGATATAAGGTGTAGTCACGAGTAAATTCAACTAATTGTATTCCTATTAAATATTGGAAAGCACGGTCAATGCTGGATACTTCTAGTAGTGCTATATATTAGTACAGTTTTGTGTACATTTTTCTTTATTTAGTGCTTGTATTAATATTGCGTACAGGGCGGGTGTGGGGTAACCATTGTCCAAGAGGTTTGGCTGCCTGAAAGCTTCGTTTCTGTCCTCTGCATGTCTCATTACAGGGCGATTGTCGCTTGACTGTGGCATTGTTACTTATTTGTTTAAATCGCTGAGCGACTCCTCGGTCCGAATAAATACAGCTGTCCGATTCGACATAAATGATTGATTCGTTCGGGTGTGATGCAAGGGAATAGATTTCTTGGTTGGAAACCGACGTCGCTAACTGGAACTTTTGCGTTGCACCAGAATTCTGTTCATTTAAAGAAAGAAAATTTAGTTTAGTTTTCTTTCGGTAATATAAGTCATTATTTTCATATCTTATTACATTTACTAATAGATAGTTTTTACAGCCTTGGTTTCAATTTTCGCTTTAATTTCAGCTTGCCGATCGTATAACACAGTGGTTCTCAACAGGAGTGAAATTCACCCCCAGGGGGTAACTTTGGGATTTTCAGGGGTGAATTGTGATCACAGTAAGTTTAAGGTGGGAGCAATTATAGAATTTGGCCTGTCACCATGAAAAGGAAGTGGGGGATCTGACAAATTATGAAAGGGCTACATAAGCAAGCAAGGTTGAGAACCCCTGGTATAACACAAGTATTAGACCAGATATATTCTGGTATAAAAATACACTATTTATTATTCGGACTATTGTCCTCGTCTTTGTTGCCATATTTAAATATGGCAACAAAGATGAGGTTAATAAATAGTGTACATAACACTCATCTCAGAAATATAGACAGATACTGGTATAAAAATTAATTAAATTTATTTCTCTTAAGAATTATGAGGGTTGATTGATATGTAAGCTCTCTAATCTAATATTTTAAACCAGATATAATAATTAAACCGATATCAAAATAAAGTAAATTCCGAAGGGGTTTAAGTTAGATCTCCAATCCAAAACAAGTTTTAGACAATATAGAATAACTAGAATTATTTTTGCATCACGTTTCCATCTTCACAGTATTGTTGAAATTATCGCTAACATTTTTTGTCGAGATTTAAAAACTCTACGTTTCGTTCAATTTCGTAAACCGTTCGATGAAATTTGAATAAGATGATTTGTTTCGAAAAAATACATTGACAAAAAAAACTCTACTTCGCGGTTTAATAATTTCTTTAATTTAATTTAATTTTATAGGATTTCATGGTAAACAATATTTTTTTCAGAAAATTCCTTTTTAACAGCAAATAATAAATTCTTAGGATTTCTACTATTTTTGAAATCCTCTGCCCATTTGAAACGCTCTCTACTGTGTGTTTTTTTATTTATAGTGTTACTACTGTGCATTATATGTTACCAGAATGAAATATATAAAAAAAAAACTTAAAGAAAAGATATGCAAAAAACAATTTTGCATTTTTATTAATTAAGTCTTTGTTATTTTAATCATTAAATTGTTTTTAAAATAGCGGGAGTATTTTGCATGTTAAATAATAAAACTTTTAATTTTTCTAAAAAAAATGAATGAAAATTTATTGTACTCAGCTACACACCCTACTTGACTTGTGTGTATAGCTCAGGATTACTCATCAATTGTAACTCAGGATTACTCATCAATTGTAGCCTAGGATTACTCATCAATTGTAACTCAGGATTACTCATCAATTCTAGCCTAGGATTACTCATCAATTGTAGCTCAGGATTATTCACCAATGGTAATTTTACCCACTTACTTTACGATGTCATTCAAAAATATACCTCCATATTGGCCTCATTGAGATAAGAACAGAAGAGCACATGCTATTTGGTCGAAAAAGAGACATTAGAGTGATTTTTTTTCTTTTCTTTTCCTTTACTTGGCCAAATGTTCCATACCTATTTTTAGAACCCCAAGACTGAGAGGACGGAGGACGGTAGGTGCGACGCTGAGATCCGAAGACGGATTGGGATGGCCAAGGAAGCATTCCAGAAGCTAGACAGATGTTTTTTTTTTTTTTAAGCATTACGCCCCGAGCAAGGCGTGAAGCCACTAGGATGCAGGGGGTTGCAGAAGATTTGGAGCAAGAGCAGATAGGAGTGATAGAAGAAAGGATGAGGAGAAGGACAGTAGATAGATCAAGGTAACTGGAGATGTCGATTGACATTACATTTGTATAGTTGGAGATTATAGCTCTCAGGGAAACAGTAATTAGGAAGGGTGTTCCACAGGCGAGAGGTACGAGGTATGAAGCTATTGGAGTAGAAGAGACGGCTACATTTAAAAGTTTCTACAGTGTAAGGGTGGGAGCGGGATGCCAGCCTCGTAGGGCGCTTGAATTCATGGAGTCTGGGAACCAGTGAAAGCAGCTCATCGGAGAAATTACACTGAAAGCATTTGTAGAAAAGACAGAGAGAGGCGACGGCGCGTCTGTGAGAGAGTGACTGTAGACGAGACGCCAGATCAGGGCCAATTATATTACATATCCGTCTCTGGATCTTGTCAAGAACTCCGAGGTAAACAGAAGGTGCCTCAGACCATATATGGCAGTAATCTGAGAAACAGGAAGATTTTTATGGTGACAAAGAAAAGAGGACTGAGTTGCTACATGACGTATGTCCTCCTATGCGGCAGTGAATGTTGAACGTATCCTCAAGGATGAAGAAGAGACTCGAGGCGGCGGAGATGTGGTTCTACAGAAGGATGGTGAGGATATCATGGACTGAGCATGTGAGCAACGATGAGGTCTTGGAGAGGATGCAAACAAGGAAGAAGCTTAAATAATTTTACAGAGTATGACTTACGATGATGTTCAAAGACATACCTCCATATTGGCTTCACTGGGATAAGAACAGAAGTGTAAATCCTTCGACAAAGTACTCCACAAGGATCTACTGGAACTGCTTAGTAACCTTGATATATTCGAGAAAGATATCAGAATAATCAAGAACCTATACTGGCAGCAAACATCATGCATGCGCATAGGCAACGAGTTCAGTGAATATGCAGGAATAGAAAGGGACGTAAGGCAAGGATGTGTCTTCTCACCAGACCTATTCAACCTATACAGAGAGGCAATTCTAAGAGAATTGGAAACCCTACCGGGATTTAGAATTGTTGGTCTCCATGTTAACAATATAATATGTGCAGATGAGACAGTACTGATAGCAGACACGGAAAAGAAATTACAAAATCTCCTACAGAAGGTAGCGGTGGAGAGTGAGAAGAAGGGACCAAGCAGACATAGCGCATGGTCATCAGTAAAAGGATGAACCCCAAATGCGATTTAGAGGTTGGGAACACTAGAATCAAGTAGACGCGGAAGTTTAAATATCTGGGATGTGATCTGACAGAGGACGGTAAGTGCGACACTGAGATCCGTAGACGTATTGGGATGGCCGAGGACGCATTCCAAAAGCTGGTCAGAGTATCATGAAACAGGAGAACTTCCTTGGTAACAAAGAAAAGAATACTGCTACGTGACATCTGTCTTTCTTTACGGCAGCGAATGTTGGACGATTTCCTTAAAAGTGAAGAAGAGACTCGAGGCAACGGAGATTTGGCTCTACAGAAGGATGCTAAGGATATCATGGACTGAGCGTGTGAGCAACAATGAGATCTTAGAGAGGATGCAAACAAGGAGAAGGTTTATACTTAACATCAGAAAGAGGCAGCTGAAGTTTATGGGATATATAACGGGGAAAGAAGGCCTAGAGACTCTGATACTCACGGGTCGAATAAAGGGAAAGAGAGACAAGAGAAAACAACGCATGACATTCCTGGCGTTCTTAAGCAAGTGGATCACAGAACGTGGTCTGGGGAGGGGGATAGCAGAGCGAAGGGACTTGTTGAGAGCTGCAAGGGATAGAGGGAGGTGAAGAGCCATGATCGCCTACGCCCTGAAAGGACACGGCACATAAAGAAGACCCACTTACCTGTTTCCACTTCTCTCCAAAATTTGGTCTCGATTGGTCAATGTCTTACGGCCATTTTAGAGGGTGTGACGGACGGACGGATCAACGGAAGTAAAGTCAACTTGAAAAGCTTCTTCCTGCAAACCGCTGCCCTGTGGAACCGACTATCAACAGGATGTAATCGTCCCCATGGTAAATAGATATTTTTATTGGTTCTCTAGTGATGAGGATTTATGTTTCGAAATTGTCTATCTTATAACCTTGTTACATTACTTAACTTTTAGCGCCTCTCACCATTTCGAGGGAGAGGTCGTAATCCTTGTCATGCTAAATAAATATGTTTATTGGTTCTCTAGTGATGAGGATTTACGTTCGTGGATTATCCTTGTCATAACTTGGTAGCGGTCGTCATTTTATTCATTGTTATGTCGATAATCATTATTGCGACGACTGTTTTCCCTTCATATATGATGAACAATACCTGATTTCATTGTCTCACTTGTAATTACAGGTTTTCACTGTCTCTTATTTTTTGTGAGCGGCTTATTTAATCGGCAATAATCCGCATGTAAACATTAATTTAATATTATGATTTTCCGTTGATTGATATTTATCGCTTATCTATTATATTAAATCTTATTTTATTTGAATTAAAACACGCCATCATGAAATATTTCCAACTACATCGTATCTCATACTTACCAATTCGGCGGGTAGAGTTTTGCTTTGATTGGAGCTGTTGATTGTTTTAACCTGATTCGAATTCAAATTCATGGGAATGGTGTTTATAACCGGATGTGAACTTCCAAAACAGGAAGTGCCAATCATTGTTTCATTCAAAATATTTCGATAATTTCCAAGCGAATAATTACTTGACTGTTGATTGTTAACCATTTCAGATATTTTCTTTTCCTCTACAGACGGTACGGTCTTGTTGCATTTGGGTCCAGTATATTTTTGCGGTTGTTCTCTTACGTCTTGTGTTTCCTGTCCCTCGTCGGATTTTTCAAGACCTGGAAGCGGCCACTGAGAATGACGAACCTTTGTACGAAGCGTTGGTAACACACAGAATCCCTTGCTGCAAAAGTTTTTAAAAAAAGAAAAAAGTTTTATGGCAGGAATGTCAACGAAAAGACTCCAGAGATTTTTTTATATAATATAATAGCCCTATCCTGTCAGTAACGCTTGCATTATTTCCCCCCTTTTTTTTTCGTGACTTTCAATTCAAAAGATCTTTCAAACAAATTTTAAGCAAATAATTACAAAATTTATAAATTCCATTGAATAACCTTAATTTGTTAATACAGAACAATGAATAAAAAAGAGAATGAGCTTGGTGGAGTACAGGTATAATTAGTTTAAAGTGATAAAAAAACAAAAAAACGAAACATTCATTCAAATGTAGTTGTCAAAATAAAACTGAGATTATTGTTTCCGTTACTCTAATAGTAGAAGAGTAGAAGAGACGGCCACATTTAACCGTTTCGACAGTGAAAGGGTGGGACTGAGATGTCAGCCTAGTAGCATGTTTAAATTCATGCAGTTTGGGAACCAGTGAAAGTAGCTCGTCAGTGCAGTTACCATGAAAGCATTTGTAAAAAAGACAGAGGGAAGCGACGGCACACCTGTGAGAGTGCGACTGTAAACAAGATGCCAGATCAGGGACAATCACATTGCATATCCGTCTCTGGATTTTGTCGAGGGGCTCCAGACCATATATGGCAGCAGAATTCCATGCAAGGGCGAATGGTTGATTTTTTGCTTTTTAGCTTCATCAAAATTTCCTACAAAATCACTTTCTAAATTTCTGATGAAGCTAAATATATTAATAAGAAAACATTAAATTTATAAAGTTTTTTTTTTTTATTCATTCATTATTTAATCCAATTTTTCTTGTCAGAATCCATCTTATACATTTATAAATCTACCATTTGTCCATGCATTGCATATTGTTGCCATATCTAGTCTGGCATTCCTGCTATATATATCCAGATTCTTGACAAAATCCAAAGTATGGTTTGTAATATAACACTGGTCAACATGATTTTTGGTGCCAAGAAACAAAAGACATTTATATCTAATTTGATGGTGCTGATTCTGAAAATGATCTTAGTTTTTCATTGTTAGCTACCATTTTTGCTGAACCTAAATTGCTCATTTTTGGAAAAAAGATCAATTTATGATCTAGGCTGATCGCAAAATTTAGTTAATAAAAGTCGTAGAAACCCATCAATTTTCAGGTAGGCTGTGCAATTTATGTCAGCCACCCGAAATAAACTATTTTTATAAGAAAAAAGTGTTTTTGAGTTTTAAAATAGAAGTACCGAATTTTTCCAATTTATCGCCAAAATTCAAATTAACTGATAAACTTTATCAGTAATACACTTTAGTAAACCTGATAGTTAAGCTGACATCAAAAAATGAAACCCTAAAATCTTCCGTTTGATATTCATAAATTTATCCCATCACTTTTATTCCTTCACTGCGGAAGGAATCCAAGTACACTGAGAGCATTTTGTTTTCACAGTTGGAAAGAAACTCCAACTAAAGACATCCCAATTGAATGCACCTATTCCATTGTACATGATAGTGCTGGAGTATCAAAATGGACTTAATAACATTGAACATGACAGACAATCAAGAAAGAGAAAATTTGAAGTTTTAAAGATTTAGGGTCTGATTGTTATTGCAAAAATAGTATTTCTCAATATGCAAATCAATATTTTTTGGTTTAAATACGAATTTAGAGGTTTCTACTGTCTTATTTTGAGAACTATTGCCATCGGCCAATATCATATATACAGAAAACAAATGAAAAAAATGCTTTTTTCCCTAAAATGAGACATTTCTGTACAGTAAAAACGGTCGCTAACCAAGAAAAAGTAAGGTCATTTTCAGATTCAGTGCTCTCAAATTAGCTAAGAAAAGATGTTTGGTGTCTCGACACCATTTCAAAAATTTTCTTTTATTGACCAGTGTAATTTGTTGTGTCTATATTATGGGTCCCCCCACTCGATTGGATTAGGACACCTACATAGACGTAGACGAAAGCGAAGAAACTATTAGCATAGAACTTACGGTTACATGTATCCAGTTCATCTGTAAAATGATAAGACCTGCGCTTAAATTCATAAATAGAGGAAAATTCTATACTATAGAGGAAAATTCATCAAAGCAATTACCATAAAAGAATTTATAGAAAATGTACAGAGAAGCTACATTAAAGCGGCGAGAAAGTGACTAAAGACGTGATGCCAGGTCAGGACCAATGGCATTGCAGATTACTTACATTGTTTACATTATTCCAAACGTTATCATCTTCATTGCCATATACAAAATGTTTCGGCCGTTGTAAACTTCGTCCTTCTTCAGTAGATTGTTCTAGTTCCACGTGCCATGTCTCTTCCGGATGTCTCAGTTATTTCCCTTTAACTCAACTCTCTGTGGTCTAGTATTGTACTCACAACTGTAACGTCTTTATCCGCTGGGCCATGTGTCAAAGTGTGGATGAACTTTCTTGTTGGATCAACCTCCATCTAGCAAGTGTAGTGACCCATAGCTGCGACCAGAGCGGAATGCCCCCCACCCACCGTGTTTGTAACCAAGGCCAGCCTTCAAGCTGGAGGAGATCAGCTTCGAGAGGGACAGACTCTACCAAGTTTATTTTCTCTCTAGACACGCTACACGTGAATGAATACCTTTCTGGCTTTTTATCCCAGTTATGTGGTCCGGTGCTCAGCTACACGGCGGCCACACTCGGTCATGATGATGTGGGCAATGATATCATAGCAGGATGATACATTTATCATACGCTTTACGTTTTCACTAAAACACTAAATATGGGGGTCTTGAATCTTCGCGCCCGTAAAAAACGGTTTGTCAAAAGGACGTGTTTTCCCTTGACATCGCTATTATTTTAACTACCTTCACTTCTAGGCAATGTTTATTGTTTTTAAAAAGCTACGATTAGCATTGTAATAAAACTTAAACATATGAAAGTGAATTTATACATATTTTTGTTCTTGAGAATTGACAACAAAAATAACAAATAGTTTATTTATTAGTGTTATGAGGTCCACCCCTTTTCGGATATAATGGACTCGTACTGCTGCCATAAAATAGCCACAGTCAGGCAGAGAAGAGGAGTCGTACATGAGTCGTACCAGAGTCGTCTGGTTTATCCAGGTCGGATGGAGGAAGTAACCTCTTGTACGAAGGTGAAGTCAAAAACAAGCACGTAGACTCTAAGGAAGTCCTACTTCGAGACTGTATATATCTATCGAACTTTATAAAATTGTAAATAATAAGGATTTCTATATAGTTGGCCCACATATTTTATAATTTAGTTAATGTTTATAAATTTATGAATAAAAATTGTTTTCATATTTATTTCTTTATAAGTTGGTAAATAATAAATATTAGTTTTAATACAATTGCATTAGTTTTAGAAAGTTGTAAATATAAAATTATTTGTAGTGGGCCCGTGGCGGTTACCACTTGTTGAGGGTTCATGGCGTGGCTGTTATGTTGTTGATAGAAGTCAGACGTAGACGAAACGCCAGTAAGGTTCAGATACTCCTGCCCGCCGCGCCCAACTACATAAAAAAATGAGCCAAGTTGGTTGGACTTTGATTAAGTCCAAAGAAGAAGGCAAAATCTAAAAAGAAAGCAAACAAAACACAAGACCGATAATATATGTATATACAAATATATATTAATAACAAGTTACAATACATGGAAACAGTACAAAGGACGAAGTGTGTGTGAATATTCTGTATGTGCGTGCGTGTGTGAATATTCTGTATGTGCGTGCGTGTGTGCGTATTGTGCTTATCGTGTTTCCACGCTATCCCTTGTTAGCGCCTACATTTCGAGGTTGATAGCTGAAATCCTCAAGGAAAAAGAGAAATTTACCTCGAGGGGTTGGTGCACAGGCCTGAAGGAAAAAAGAGATAGAGGCCAAGAGTCAGCGGCTATTTATAGCCAGGGAAGAGAGACCTCTGGTGAAAGGGTTAACGGAGTGAAGGAGGAGTTAACTCCGACATATTCTTGTAAATAAACAATCTAATAAAGGTAACCTCTAATTGAGGTTAGTTAAAATAATAGTGGCGTTAAGGAAAAACCGTCCTTTTGACACACTGTTTTTTGTAGGCACAAAGGTTAAAAATTATTCTAAATATATATTGTGTCATACATAAACATTACTTGTTTGTAAAACATTTTGAACAGATAAGACAGCACCAAAACCCCACAGGCGCACTGGGATAGCGAAAGATGTCTTTCAAAATCTAAACAAAGTATAAAGAAACGTGAAAATTTCATTGGAAAAAAAAGAAAGAAAAAGAGCACGCAACTGATATGTAATATCGGTCTTTCTATAAGGCACTGAGGCACTGAATTCTGGAAGATCTCATCACCAATAAAGAAGAGATTTAAAGCAACAGAAATCTGGTTCTACAGAAGGATGCTGAGAATAGCATGGACTGAATATATGAAGATTAAGGAAGATTTAGGAGAAATGGAAACAAAAAGGGCCCTCATATTCATAATCAGAAAGAGACAGTTAAATTTTCTCTGGAAGATATTGAGGAAAGCGGGCTTGGAGAATTTGACACTCACAGAACATATTGAAGGCAAGAGGGTTAGAGTAAAGCAGTGATTGATCTACATAACGAGCTTGTGTAAATGGTTGACAAAACAGAGATTAAGAGAAATAGCAAAAAAATACAAAATTTGTTTTGTGCTGCAAAGGACAGGAAGTAGTGGAGAACCATGATCGCTCACCTTGAAGAGCGGCATAACGCATAGAAGAAGAAAATGAAGAAATCAGAAATTTATATAAAACGAAAAATTCAGAAAAATCTACTTACTTAATGCAGTAGTGGCAGAGTAGAAGCAGGGTAGCTGTGAGGACGAACACGGCAAATAATGATGAGAAAGCCATCAGTAACCACAATGGAACTGAAACGTAAAAGAATATATATATATATATATATATATATATATATATATATATATATATATATTATTAGATAGAGGTAGATTTTAAATTGATAATTTAATTTAAATTGAAATATATTACCATTTAATAATCATTATTGATGATAAAATTATTTAGATTGGAATAACCTTTGATAATTACGTAGGTACCTAAAAACAGTCACGAGTTTAATTTATGAACAACACTCAAACGAATAGATGTCAGCTTGATAATCAACAAGAAAAAAGTTTAAGAAAATAAAAAAGATTACTTGATGTAAAATGAATTATTCTTTCAATGTACTTTCTATGAATTTTTCCCAATCGACTTTTTGATAGAAAATACCCCAAACTCCAACAAACATCAAATTAAATTCTCCGTAGATGTTTTAGACATTTAGATTTATATCAAACTTTAACCCCCAAATATACCCTTTTAGGTAATGCGAAATAACAGCGTCCAAGAAATTGAGTGAAACTTTCTCTTATCAGGATTATTTTATTGTATCTTCTTCATTTTGTCGGTTTTCCTCTTCACCCCTTACCCATCCATATCTAAAGATAACATACGTTAAGTTAAGCGTTGTCTAGCCCATTCCAAGTGGGGTTAGGGATAAAGAATTGAAAAGGGACATCTAACTCACTCATGTCTTCTCTCCCCCCTCACTTCATCACTTCGTTAATTTACATATGCTTAATACGGCCCGTCAAAAATGTGTAAATTTCTTTTCATTTTTCATTTCAACCTTTGGAAGTAAAATCTGATGATCCAGCGCCCTTTAAAAAGGCTGTGGTGAAATAATTTATTACATGGAACCTTAAAGTGGTCTGTTTTTATTCAAACATAAATTTAAAAAATGACGTTGAAATTTTTTTACCGTTAACATTTTTTTTTTTTTTTTAAATTCAGACGACATCCATTCAACTGATGTCAGGTTTCATTGTAAAATACATCCCTACCCCTTACCAAATTGTAGCTAATAACTGATACAATGATACTGACATAAGGAAAATCTAGACATCCCTTGTTCAATTTAATAATATTCTGTAACCATGGAAACGTGATTTTAGCTGTGTCTTTAAAACCCGGTAATTTTTAAAAGTTACTCCAAAATTCGCTTGAAGATGAAATGGAACTAATGCTTTTAATTTAATTGCAAAATTAAATTCGGGGTTTTTTAGCTTCTGTTTTTGAAACATGGTTGGAACTGTAGTGAAAAAAAAACCATATTTTAAATCAATTAATTTATAATATTAATGCTCTGTAAATTTACATTGAGCACTATTTTGTAAAAATAAAAATATCTATAAGAACACCGGATTTTATATCTTACTGTTCTTTCTTTTTATTTATACACACACACACACACACACACACACACACACACACACACACACACACACACACACACACACATATATATATATATATATATATATATATATATATATATATATATGTATTTTGGCAGCATTGCTTCTTTTATACAAGTTTCATTAAAGACAACTGACAAGGTACTGTGATTGAGGTTTTTATTTTATTTTTCTTCTGTTCATATAAGTGATTTCTTTTCAGGGCTTAAAGTGTGTAAAAACTGCTTGAATATTTTATGTTTCCTAACGATTTTGGCTCTTCTATTAGCCATTATCAAGGATGTCTTTCTATTTTAATTTTTAACTGAATGTGTACATTTTTCTATACATCTGAAGTGATGGGAATTTTTTTGTTGTTTTCCAATTACGGTCAAATGCGGTCAGTATATGTGGCCGTGTCCATAATTAATGTTAATGTTGGCTTTTTCTTTTCTTTTATTATGGACGCTTCCATTATTTTTAACCTATTTTTATATGTTGCGGATAGAGTTTGGAAGGTTTCTGAGCGTGTTTAAATGGGTCCTAAATGAGCTATAGTCAGAGAGATTCATTTTCGTGTTCTGTTACTTCGTAGTTAGAGATAAAACCAATACTTTCCTTGTATCGCGACTGCTATTAGAGAGATGTGATTAAATATACTTTAATGCTTTAAATATTTATTCATTATTAGTATTATTTAGGTAATAAGCAATATAACATTGCATAAATAGCGATATTGTGAAAAAATAAGTGAAATTACCTGAAAATAAAATTCAAGTACCAAGTGCCCCATTAAAATTAAAGTAAGTTTGCCGCAGAAGTTTAACTATAGGTTGCTATGAGATAAAAAATGTTTTAAAACATTGTTATAGATAATTAGCAACATCAACTTAAAAAGTAGACAGGATCCGTGTTCCAATGTTGGAACATTAATATTTAATTCATAAAAAAAACAACTTACAGAAGGAAATTGTTAATAGTCAATCCTTTCATTTTTTTTAACAGATTTATTAGGGAGATGTGATTAACGATGGAGTAATGGATAGCGGCTCGAATTGAGGAATCGGAGAGCCGAGTTCGAATTCATGTCAAATCCATTACATTAACTTCCGTGCTAATACCCTTGGGAAAGGTATGAGTCCTCTTCTTCTCCCCCTAGCTATGGGTAAATAGTGGGGCAGACCGGGTTCTATAGCCTTGGATGGCAACTGACCTGCCACAGAAAGCAATGGCGGGAAAAAATCTGCCTCGTCAGTCATATATCGAAAGATACATGATCCCTTACGCGTGTATCACTTATGGCACATAACTGACTGATTAAATATACTTTAATGTTTTAAAAAAAGATCCAGTATTATTATTGTTTAGGTAATAAGCATTATAACGTATCACAAATAGCTATATTGTGGAAAAAGGAATTTTCGACAATATAACGCATTTTTTACATATTTATGGTTATTTTTTAACTTTTATCAAAAACGACATTCTTGTACATGTAGTTATGGATAATATTATACATCGATTACTAATTTTTTAATTAATAACTATTTGTACCCAGTTTTTGACATTAATAGCTATCTGCCGATGTGTTAAAATTTTGGAATAATGGAATAATAAAAATTTAAATTTCATCTCTCTGATAGATGTCATGATCTGTAAATAAATCTGATTATTAGTCTATATTTCTGAGATGAAGTATTGTAATGATTTACATATTTATATTGTTCGGACTGTTGTCCTCATCTTCGTTGGCATATTTACGACGTTTCCTCAAAGACTCATGGCCCAGTGAATAAAATCATTGGTAGAATCCCGTGACTTGTCCCAAAGAGTTACGAGTTCAGTACCTGGCTACAGCAGAGGTGAACAAAAAAACTCGGAGGGTTGAGTTAAAGGGAGATAACTGATACTGAGACAGCCGGAAGAGGCACGTGGAACTAGAGCAATCTACCTCGGTGGACGAATTAAGGGTTCCGTTCGAAATTGCAATCACCTTAAGAAGGCCGGAGCGTACAACGGCCGAAACGTCGTGAATATGGCAACGAAGATGACAACAGTCCGAACAATGTAAATAGTGTAAAAAATTCGATTATAATTCGAAATTACGTAAAATACTCGACGATCATACCAAATTTAAAAATCCAACAAAAATCCTACTAACCAACTGAAATTAAAAATTAATAAGCTGATCACAGTCAACAACGCAGAGCAGGGCAGCTTAAAACTCCCCAAAATAATCGAAGACTACAAACTAGGATACATGTATGAAACTATAAAAATACACAAGTCTAACTTTCCCCTCTGTTCTATCATATCCCAAATCTTTACTCCGCTTTACCAATTAACTAAAATCATCAACCAACAGGTTACACCATATTTACTTACATTAAATCAAGTCATGAACTAATCCATATCTTAAAAACACAAACCTATTAATGAAACCATAGATTCATTTGATATTAAAAATTTACTTACCAATGTCCCAGTTAGAGAAACGATTGATATAATTATAAAGAATATTTACAACAATCCATCTCTCCCTCCACTAAAAATCAAACCTAACATATTACGGAAATTAATTTTGACTTGTACCACTGAGGTTCGCTTCTATCACCATCTAAATAATATCTACGTACAAAGTGATGGCATTTCCATAGGACCAACATTTAGTAACTTCTACATGGCTAACCTTGAAATAAGATGTTTAACCCCATTAAAAACTTTCCATCTACCAAAGTATTGTGAGACCGGAAACTACCTACACAATAGACTCTTCCAGGCCTATATTAAGTAGGCGACATAGCACTCTAGAGAGTGACAGAGAGTGACATAGAGAGAGACAGAGAGAGAGAGAGAGAGAGAGCCGCGTACGACTACCAGTATTGGACACTAACATATAGTAAGCTCCGCTTACACTATCTCTGTAACCTGTTGTTAATATATCTTTCTTACATCTAATCCGTGTTCCGTGTTTTCCTTCTGTGGTCCCAACTTTGGCCCCACATCACAAAGATATGTAGATAATATTCTTATCTTAAAAAACATAGATGAAATACATAAACTACAAGAAAACTTAAAAAAAAAACCCTCCGTTCTTAACTTCACATATGAATTTAACAATAATGATAAAACCCTTTTCTTGATGTATTGATAGACATTAATAATAATACATTTACTACCTCCCAATATAAAAAAAAAAACACGACTAGCATAAACACTTGTACTCTAAAATATAAAAGTGAATTCCCTGTTACAAAAAAGCTATTATACAAAAGTTAACTCCTCCACGAAAAAAATTTTCTACACTAAATTAAAAAAAATTAAACAAACTCTCATTAATAATGACTTTCCTAATTACATCGTTGATGAACAAATTAGACGACCCACTAAAAATATTAGCATAAATAAAAAAGAACATAACACTTCTTCAAATGACCCTAAACATATCAACTTACTCTACCGTAATCAAATGCATTCTAACTTTAAACAAGATGAAAATATCCTAAAAAAAATCTCATAAGTACTAATATATTCCATACTGACCCCTGTAAGAAATAAAACTAATTATATATTATACTAAATTTAAGACAACCAACTTAATTATATGTAATA